GTGATGCGATTGCCCTGAGCATTGGCGGCAGTTGGCTCCGCTTTCCTGTGCTGGAGGACGCGCTCTAGAGTACGTGGTGCCAAGCGGAGTTCCGACTGTGGTCTGTTAGATGCCGTCGCTTGCACGAAGGCCCAGTTCTGCTCGCTCTCTCTCACACACAAATACACCAAACTTAAAAAGTGCCACCGACTCCAGTGACTTGTAGTAATTTCTTAGGGCTTGGGGAGTAACAAATCACCACAAGTTTGGTGGTTTAAAGTAACAGAAATTTTTCCTTCACAGTTCTGGAGGCCCGAAGTTTGCAATTCAGGGGTTGGCAGTGCCAGGCTCTCTCCGAAGGCTGCAAGGGGTGATCAGTCCTCACCTCTGCTCCCAGTGGCTCCTTGTCCCTCAGCTCATGACAGTGCAATTCCAGTCTTTGTCTCTGTCTCCCCATGGTGCCCTCCCATCCAGCAACTCTGGACGGCTTTTTTTTTTTTTTTTTTTTTTTTTTGGTTTCTCATAAGCAAACTAAATGAGAACTCTCAATTTTTGTGGCTGAGTTCCCCTGGTATTTACCCAGTTTCTCACAAGTATCTCAGAGTTCTAGCTGAAGAGCTGAAAGGTCTCTTTTTTCCTTGGTTTGTCATCGCCACATCAAAAACTGCTCCGGTGACTTAAAAAGTTTTTTTGACTTGTATTTGGATTGTGTTTGTGATAAGTCTGAGTGGAGATGCAAATGAGTTAGTGACACATGGCAAAAACATATGGAAATTATTTGGGAATTACATCAAAGGGCATAACCTGAGGAAAAACATCCGTAAATTTCTACATTAAAGTTTACTAGTAAGGATCAAAATTATGATAACAATGGTGTAATCAGTTTTGGCATATGTATATCTGAATATATATTATATGTATATTATATATCATGTATATATATAGAATTCCAAATTGCCTATATTTCAGTGAGAAAGGGATTCCCATGAATTGTACTGAAAAAAAATTTTTAAAAAAATTTCATTTAAGTCACACAAGTTTCATGTATTTCATGTACACTGATTAGGAACAGAGCGATATTTCCCACCCTACCCCGTCCCGCCCATGCTCCAATCTCTCTTCTTCCTCCTGCTCCCATTCCCACTCTTAGTTTTTTAGAAAGATTTACTTTTACACTGAAAAAAATTTATATCTATTGCCTTTGTTTTGCATTGTGTCCATGAAAAATGCTGAGTGCCTTGCTACCTTAGTGCTGTTTGTAACAAGGTGATTTTACGTACTTAGTTACAGTGAAATCATCTATGTGTTGTCTGAGACCTTAATACTCAAAACACTCAAAAGCCTGGACCTTAATACTCAAGTAAGAGCCTTTGTTTAAAGCGCCAACCACGCTACAAGAGGAGCAGTTCTTTCTCATTTAATTCAGAGCTATAGCATCCAGTGTATGGGGAGGCAGTTTAATTCACTTAGTTTAATTCACTTAGTGGCTCATTGTTATTATTTTTTTTTTTTACTTCCAATTTTATTTCAACTGCTCCCATATGACTTATTTTTCCATTTTAATAGTCATCATTGGTGCCAATGTTTGAATAGCTTAAGGGACTCCGGGAGAGGTTTTGGTGGGCTTGTATTTTAGGATGAACCTTAAAAGGTCTGGTTAAAGGGCTGGAGCTGTGGCACAGTGGGTAAAGCAGCCACCTGCAGTGCTGGCGTCCCATATGTATTTAAATACAGATGTCTTCAAAGTGAATAGCCTTTGAAGTGTGAATTATCCAAATATTATAAAATAAAGAAAAAATCCAGTAGGCAAAGGAAATTAAAGCAATGGGAAGCAAACAGAAATGACTAAATTTCAAACATTTTGTCACTTGTACTTTGAAGAGTGGGACAGCAGGCAGCCATCCTCCTGGACAGCCCAGCCTACCCATGCAGGTGAGCAGAGGTGAGCCAATTGGCGGTCTCTGAGGTTCTGAACAGGTTAAAATTTCTATTTCCTAATACCTTGCTTCACACCTTAAGGGATGGGGGTTTCCTGGAGTTCCCAAATTTTGGGGGGCTCACCTATTCAGGCCATAACATTTTTACTCTGTTAAGTACCTTAGATATCTGATTTCATTGAATTCTCTTTAAGATTTATTTATTTGAAAGGCATAGTGACAGAGAAGGACACACACATACACACACACACACACACACACACACAGAGGAGAATCAATCGTCCATCTACTCTAGATGGCCACATCTACCAGGGCTGGATCATGCTGCAGCCAGGAGCCACAGCTTCACCTAGGTGTCCCATGTGGGTGCAGGGACCTAATACTGGAGCCACGATCTGCCGCCTCCCAGGTGCCTTAGCAGGGAGCTGGATAAGCAGCAGAGCCAACTAGAATCCTGATGCCACACCCAGGCCTCCACTCTGAGTCCTCAACAACCCGCAGCCACAGCCACTCATTGTGTTCCCATGTTATGGAAGATAAAGCAGCCACTTCTGCTTCGCTTAATAACCAGAATGGGAGGCAAGTGTCTGATTCAGAAGCCTGCTCTCTGCTCTCTGCAGCCAGATGCCTTACTGCTTCCCCTCAATTTGCTGATTGGTGAATCCCAGGCACCTTCATGGTGTTAGGATATAGAACAGCAAGGCTTCTGGTTTGGGTTACATGATCCCTTCAAACACAGCATATGGTTAGAGTTCAACTTTCTTCAACCCAGACCCTATTTTGGTGGTGAATTTGCTGTCCCTGCTGCATTCCTGGTCATGCTTCTGCAACCATTGCTGCTGGGTGGAAGCCCAGAGGTGCATAGGACAGGCAGCATAGGACAGGCAGCATAGGATAGGTAGCATAGGATAGGTAGCATAGGATAGGTAGCATAGGATAGGCAGCATAGGATAGGTGCATAGGATAGGCAGCATAGGATAGGCAGCATAGGACAGGCAGCATAGGACAGGCAGCATAGGACAGGCAGCATAGGATAGGCAGCATAGGATAGGCAGCATAGGATAGGCAGCATAGGACAGGCAGCATAGGACAGGCAGCATAGGACAGGCAGCATAGGATAGGCAGCATAGGATAGGCAGCATAGGATAGGTAGCATAGGATAGGCAGCATAGGATAGGTAGCATAGGATAGGCAGCATAGGACAGGCAGCATAGGATAGGCAACATAGGATAGGCAGTATAGGATAGGCAGCATAGGATAGGCAGCATAGGATAGGTGCATAGGATAGGCAGCATAGGATAGGCAGCATAGGATAGGCAGCATAGGATAGGCCAGCTCAGACGGCGAAAGCCAGGGAGCTGTGTCACCTTGCCATGATCGGTACATGGTGGGTTTCCAGAGGGCAACGACTGGTTAAAGTGATTATTGGAACCCATCTGAGGGAGACTATTTCATTTTCATTTGCAATCACCATGGACGTTGTAAAGAAATAATCTAAGTTTTGCTTGTGTTCAAGATAAAGGCTACGTTATGTGGCCTAGCTGAATTTTTTCAGGTCAAAGGATTTTCAAGCCTGGTCTTCATCTTTCTTTAACAGAAATTTAATTCCTTCAAGAAGTGAAAGCAGCAAGGGTTCTGTAGTGTACATAATTTATGTACTTCTGTGAATATTAACATGAGGCTATCTGCTTTTGTCCTCCACAAATAGTATTTACGTTCCCCATAAGAGAAAAATCTTACTATTTTACATTATTAACCAAGGCTTATTTTTCCCAGGGAACCAGATCCAGGATATTCAAGCTCATTTAGAAATTTCTATTTTCAAGGCTTCAGAAATTTGAACAACACCCTCTCTGAAAGCTAATTTTCCAAACATTCTAATTGATCAGAAGCTGTGGGGAGCAACTCAGACTAGACTAAGTTACTGGAATTAAGACTTATTTTATGCATCTGCTCTCCCACAATATGGCGCTGGGAGAGGAGAAAACAGCTTCTACACAGCTGCCTCCAGTTCAACCAATAAACAGCAGGACCTGCTCCTGATTGGAGGAGAGCAGCGTACTCGGCGTGTGGGTAGCAGAGTTGGGATTGGTGGAAGAGGACTATAAAGGAGGAGAGAGACAACATGCACCAGGAACATCTATCTGAAGGAACACCTGAGCAGCCCCCGAGAGAGCCGGCCAGCGGTGTGCCGCTCCCCCGCAGAAGTGGGGAAAGTGGCCAGGGGGAACCGCCCTTCCACGGAGGTGGAAGGGACGGTAGCCAACCCGGGAAGAACCAGCAGCAAACCCGGGGAGGGCCGAGTAGACAAAAGAACAGCGCAGGGTCCTGTGTCGTTCCTCCACGAAGAGAGGGAGCGACATAATGGTGCCGTGACTCGGATATGAAGCCTAGGCAGGGTTTAGTGTCGTTCCCCCACGAAGACGGGGAGCGACAAGAAGCCTCACTTGTTGGCTTTATAATGTCACAGGTGTGCTTGTTGGCTAAGTACCAGGTGAGCTGGACTTAGTTTCTTTTAGGAGGTCCCACTTTTCCTCCCTCATGTGGAAACAGAAGGTAAGCAAGAACAATAGCCCCTAAAACATAATGCCTGGCACCCCTCCAACCCTTACTCTATCTCCCCAGATTCTCATGGTGTAGGCACAATTATCACACTTCATTTTTTTCTAACAAAGTGAAGAAACTGAGCCACAGACAAGTTAGAAAACGTTTTCAAGTTCACATGACTGGTTATTGATTAACCCAGGTTCAGACCTGGGCTGTCTGGCTCCTGAGTCCACATTCTCAATTTGTACCCCATCCTGCCTCCGAGACCACAAGGCGGCAGGTTTTTTTGGGTTAAAATACTTACTCTGTGCACAGTTAGGACTTCCCTGAAATAATGGCTGGCTACTACCTCGTAGAAAAGAACACGTATTTTAAGCTTATGAGATAACTGTAAGGTTTCCTTACAGGGTGCACATTTTCTGTTTCGATTTTAGCTTTATTTCCCCTATTTCTCTCTCTGTTGAGAGAGGTCCCAGCAACATCACCCGCAGCCCATCCGGGCCTTTCCTCTCGCTGTGACCACGGGGGCTCACTCACCGCAGTTGTCCTCGTCGGCCCGATTCCCGCAGTCGTCCACGCCGTTGCAGTGCAGGAACTGAGGCAGGCACTTGGTGATGTTCCCACAGGAGAAGTAGCCCAGCGAGCACATGATGTCCTGTTCACTCCCATGAGCAACTGCGACGGGGAGAGGAGAGGACACAGCGCTTGAAGAAGGTTCATGCAAAGGCAGTGCACTGGAGATTTCAACATCTGGCTTTCTCGGTGTTTTGTACAACCCTCCATGAGGCGGCCTCACCCCCTAACTACACTGACACCAACGCACTTCACCTCTGTAGCATGTTCACAAGCCAGCTACGCTGAAGCCAGGAGCCTCTTCCGGGTCTCCCACGTGAGGGCAGGGGCCGAACACTTGACCCATCTCCCAGTGCTTTTCCTAGGCTGTTAGCAGGGCGCTGGATTGGAAGTGGAGCAGCTGGACTTGAACCTGCACCCATACGGGGTACCAGCATCCCAAGCAGCGGCTTTACCTGCTAGGCCACAATGCTAGCCCCCTTTTATTTATTTATTTAGATGAGATGTTGGTCCATGTGTTACAGTTTGGCTTACTTCCCCTCTGTTACAATAACTTACCAGTCAACCACTTTAAAAATCGCGAATTTACTGTATTCTTACCGTGGGCTCAAAGTCAAGGCTGGTCTCTTCTTACAGGAAGAAGACAGGGAGGAGTTCACTGGCTAGCTGGGAAGACACACTGCACAAGCTACCAACAGACTCTAAATTCTGAGAGGTTCACGAACAAAGCAAATGAGTGCTATAAAGGAAAGTAACTGTTTCGGGTTTTACACGAGGAGCACTCGGCGGGAGTCTCAGCGGCATGGTGCCGCTTAGGCTGAGATCTGAAGGCAGACAAGGACTGGCCCGTGGGTGAGGGGGAGGGGAGTGGGGACAGATTGGTGACCGAGGGGCTTTGGGGGCAGGAGCTGTGCTGAGACTCAGATGAGGCTCCAAGGGTACAGAAGTATCTTCCTGCAAAGATCAAGGTCGGACTTTATTAGAAACGTGAGGGAAACCAGGAAGGATTTCAGCCCAGGGGACCACTTGGGAAACGCAGATGTTTTTGTTACACTATTCTGGGGTGGGGAGCCACTCGGAGGAGACCAGGGAGGGTGAGGCGGAGGCTTGGCAGTAATCAGGGTAGGAGACAACTGGGCTTAGTCTAGGCTGGTGTGAGTGTAGGTGAGCAAAGTGGAGAGAGAGGGAGAGAGTGAGCACGAGCTAGACAGTGAGAGATCCCATCTATATCATTCTCCACGGGCCTGTAATAGCTAGGACTGCGCGGGTCTGAAGCCAGGAGGGAAAATGCAATCTGGGTTTCCCACGTGGTGGCAGGGACACAGTCACTTGAGCAGTCACCTGCTCCTTCCAGGGTTTGCCTAGGCAGGGAGCTAGAATTAGAAGCAGAGCTGTGAATTCTGCCATGGGACAGAACATCTTAACTGCCGGGCTAAAATGCCCACGCTAAGAGTGGACACATCTGACATGGTATTTACAGGTGGAAAACACAGAACTGACATGGAGAGCTGGGGGCGCGGCAGGGCTGGCACAGCCCTCTGGGGATGTGGAGGACGCACGAGGGAACGGGACTCATTCTGCACTTTCACCCTTTACCGACAGCTTCACCACATGAATTTTTTTTTTTTTTTTGACAGGCAGAGTGGACAGTGAGAGAGAGAGAGACAGAGAGAAAGGTCTTCCTTTGCCGTTGGTTCACTCCAATGGACGCTGCGGCCGTTGCACTGCAGCTGATCCGAAGCCAGGAGCCAGGTGCTTCTCCTGGTCTCCCATGGGGTGCAGGGCCCAAGCACCTGGGCCATCCTCCACTGCCTTCCCGTGACACAGAGAGAGCTGGCCTGGAAGAGGGGCAACCAGGACAGAAAAAGGCGCCCCGACCGGCACTAGAACCCGGTGTGCTGGTGTCGCAGGCAGAGGATTAGCCTAGTGAGCCGAGGCGCCGGCCCACCACATGAACTTTCTAACTCGGGCCAGCATCAGGCCCACCATGCAGCCTTCTCAAGACCCCATCCTCAGTCCAGAGACCCCATTCTGGCTTCTCATTCTCTCCCTCGTTCCTGGAATTCTACTTCATCATTATCACAGACGTGCAAGTTCCAGGCTTGTTGGACCTCCTGCCTCAGGCTGCAGCCCACAGCTGTCAGACTCCACCCCTACTAGATAAATATCCTTTTGTTTATTTCTTGAGAGGAAACTGGTCACTATTGGCAACCATGTTTCTATGACAGAGTGTAGAGTTTCAAAACCAATTTAAAAATTAAAGTCTTGGAAAAAATTAAAGTCTTGGAAAAAAACAAAGTCTTGGAAAGTCATTTGACTTGATAGATTTATACCTCTACAAGTAAACATTTGATTAGAACGAGGACTGTGAAGACTTTGGAACTTCACGGAGCAGTGCACCGGTCCCCCAGTCTGCACCAACAAGCAATCACATTTCTCCACATTTCTTCTGAATTTGTTTTGAGTGCTTTAATTTTATCTCCCGCACAAGAAAGAAAAGTCATTGTAAACCGAGTCCATGTCATTATTTGTTTTTCTCTCTGGTTAGGGAGGCCAAAATTTACTTGTTGATAGAAAGATTGGAGACACAAAGATAAGGAGTGCGAGAGCCAGCCTCACCTGTCTGCTCAGGACGGACTCTTACCAGGAAGTGCAGCGGAAGTGAGATTTTATAAATGATCTTGCAAGATTGGGTGCCCAGTAGAACACCACACCCAGAATGCTTTATAGCAACATATTGATTTTCTAGCACGCAGGTCCCTCCCTCAGTTCCTCATTGGCTGAGTAACGAACTGCATTTGCTTCAGCTGTTTTGGCACTAACCTCGTTGGCCTAAAAACTTTCAGGTGCGTGTAACCTAGCTGCTAGGCTAGCTGGCTACTTGTCTGCAAGCTGTTATGCTAGCTACTTGTCTACTCACAGCTGAACACCTTACTTTGAAAATGAGCCAAAGGTTTACTTCTAACAAGAAGCAAAAATAGTCTCCTGAACACAGAGATGAAAAGTTTGCTGTGATCAACTTCGAGGAAGTGTCCTTGTTTTGCAATTATATAGCCATCCTATTCTGATTTGAAGAGTCATAATGCCATTTCTTCCTTCCTTCCTTCCTACCTTCCTTCCTTCCTTCCTTCCTTTCTTTCTTTCCAGGTAGAGTGGACAGTGAGAAAGACAGAGACAGAGAGAAAGGTCTTCCTTTGCTGTTGGTTCACCCTCCAATGGCTGCCAAGGCCAGCGCGCTGCGCCTGGCGCACCGTGCTGATCCGATGGCAGGAGCCAGGTGCTTCTCCTGGTCTCCCATGGGGTGCAGGGCCCAAGCACCTGGGCCATCCTCCACTGCACTCCCGGGCCACAGCAGAGAGCTGGCCTGGAAGAGGGGCAACCGGGACAGAATCCGGCGCCCCGACCGGGACTAGAACCCGGTGTGCCGGCGCTGCTAGGTGGAGGATTAGCCTAGTGAGCCACGGCGCCGGCCCAATGCCATTTCTAAAAGTAGAGTTTTCAGTAATTTCTTTTTAGACTTAGTTTTTTTAAAGTTTTTAAAAATTATTTATTTATTTGAAAGGCAAATTTACAGAGTGAGAGAGGGAGAGATTCCATCTGCTGATTTACTCTCCAAATGGCCGCAATGCCAGAGGCTAGGCCAGGCTAGAGCCAGGAGCCAGGAGCTTCCTCCAGGTCTCCCACATGGGTGGCAGGGGCCTGAGCACTTGCGTCATCCTCTGCTGCCTTTCCCAGGCCATTAGCAGGGAGCTGGATTGCAAACGGAGCACCTGGGTCATGAACCAGCACCCACATGGGATGCCAGTGTTGCAGGCAGCGGCTTAACCAGCTACACTGTAATGACTGCCCAGTTTTTCAGTTTTTAATAGATTCAATGTAGTTCATAAATACAATTCCAAGAAAACAATAATATTCTCTTCTTCCCTCCCAAAGTAGACTACTTTTTACCATCATTTTAGGTGCAGAGCAAAACACAGCGAAGGCACAGAGCTTTCCCTTTGACGCCCTGCCCATGTCTACAACCTCCCTTCCCATCAACATCCCCCCACAGTGGAACGTTTGTTACCACTGATGGATCGACACGGATGCATCACCATTACCAGAGTCCAGAGTTTACACTGGGGTCCATTCTTGGGGCTGTACCTCCTCTGGGTTTGGACAAGTGTGTAATGACATGCATCCATCATTCTATTATCACACAGCAGTGTTGCTTGCTCCAGAGAAACTCAGTGTTTTGCCCCTCTCTCCACTAACCCTAGTAACTGCTGATTATGTTACCGTTGTCCATAGTTTTGATTGTCCCAGAATTCCCTACAGTTGGAACCACACAGTATGTGCCTCTCTCAGATTAACTTCCCTCAGTAATACGCATTTATTCATTCATCGACTGAAGGACATCTTGGTTGCTCCCAAGTTCTGGCAATTACGAATAAAGATGCTACAAGCATCTCTGTGCAGGTTTTCTTTTTTTTTTAACTTTTATTTAATGAATATAAATTTCCAAAGTACAGCTTATGGATTACAATGGCTTCCCCCTATAACGTCCCTCCCACCCGCAACCCTCCCCTTTCCCACTCCCTCTCCCCTTCCATTCACATCAAGATTCATTTTCGATTCTCTTTATATACAGAAGATCAGTTTAGCATATATTAAGTAAAGATTTCAACAGTTTGCACCCACATAGAAACACAAAGTGAAAAATACTGTTTGAGTACTAGTTATAGCATTAAATCTCAATGTACAGCACACTAAGGACAAAGATCCTACATGAGGAGTAAGTGCACAGTGACTCCTGTTGTTGACTTAACAAATTGACACTCTTGTTTATGGCATCAGTAATCACCCTAGGCTCTTGTCATGAGCTGCCAAGGCTATGGAAGCCCCCTGAGTTCACTGACTGTGAATCATATTTAGACAAGGCCATGGTCAAAGTGGAAGTTCTCTCCTCCCTTCAGAGAAAGGTACCTCCTTCTTTGATGACCCGTTCTTTCCACTGGGATCTCACTCACAGAGATCTTTCATTTAGTTTTTTTTTTTTTTCCCCAGAGTGTCTTGGCTTTCCATGCCTGAAATACTCTCATGGGCTTTTCAGCCAGATCCGC